TCGTTGTAAAAATATATAGTTTTCGTTTTGTTCGCGACATTATTATAACTTAATATTTGCATACGCACTCCGTGACCGTGTATCGGATATCGTGGGAAGAAAATATATAAACCATATGATAATATGTGTAATAATAAAATTATCAAATGAAATATAATTTCCGGAGATGTTTATAATAATATATTATATAAAAGAGCATAATGTTATGTTACATAATATGAATCGCTGAACACTGAAAGTGTATGCTCAAAATTAAAAGAGTTTCAAGAAAGAAAATAAAAGCCGAATACCTCTGAAAAAAAATGTCATATTTAAAACTAATGTTATAGTATTAGACATTATTATCTATAATGTTCTACTGCTATTTCATGAAATATTACAAATCCATTTTAGGTGCTCAACAAATAGATCGATTAGTCCTTTTCGAACAATTTGTATTAGTTATTTGAATATAAACACTTTATGCGATATAGGACGCATACAATTTATAGTAAATTGTATTTATCCATGCACAATTTATTATCAGGACACGAGACTTGTAGTACTGTGAAACCACTGAATGCGCTGCAATATGCAATACATGCAAAAGAAAAATTTCTGGTAGAAAAACAAAATCGAAAATAATAAAACTGTCATTGAGGTTAATTTTGTCCGGTGTAATCGGTTAGTTTTATCGTATACTATGATCATTTTTATGGTTATTATAACGAAAAAAATAGCCGGATTACTGGACGCACCGGATTATCGCATGGCCGGATTACCGAGAGTCTACTTTGTACTTCCAGAAAAAATACTACACGTAAAAATCAAAGCAATATTTCTGGTAGTAAAGTTGTTTACTGGCCGTCAAAAAAAAAAAAAAAAAAAACCACACAATAGTAGTAAAACCATTTTTATTCTTTTTGCTGTGCACAGAATCTAATCTACGCTCACAGGTATAATCGTTGATTTCTTATCACACATTTTGTATAATAATTAGCGCGTGTTCACATGTATCATGGTAACTACATATATAATGTTATACAAGTCAAACAATTTTTATATTTTAATGCGTTTGACGGCTATTTTTGAAAAATGGTACCCATTGTTCGTATCGCCTTGTACATAAAATAGTATTTTAAATATAAATGTATTATGTATTACAGCGGTTCCCAAACTGTGCGGCGCGCTACCCAAAGGAGGCGCGAGCACTAAACAAGGGAGGCGCAGCGCGCGGTTAGAATTTCGTACACGTATAGTTATGTTTAGATCAATTATCTTATCTTATCCAACCGATTCTTCACTACGAATGCAATTTTCTTCATATTCAATTACGGAATTTCGGAACAGTATTAAAGACGAATATCCCGATGTTAGCAACATAGCTTTAGGTATAGTAATACCATTTGGCACATCGTATTTGTGTGAAACAGGTAAACTGCTTTCAACAGTAACCGTATTAAAATCAATATATCGGTCCAGACTCAACGTGGAAAAAGAAATGCGTGTTGCAGTAACTACGTTAANATAAAATAAAATAGTAAGTTTACTGTTAACTAATAAATATTAAATAATTGTTAACCTATTTTATTAAACATTCATTGCGGGAGGCGTGAACAATTTTTTATTATTATTAGGGAGGCTTGAATTAAAAAAGTTTGGGAACCGCTGATACATTATATATAGTACAGGTAGGTATACTATAATATTCAGTTAAAACTCGTATATAAAAATATGCATTCAAATACCAACACTATGTTTCCTATATCCGAACATTAAACCCAATTGCCACTGAAACGTTTACCAAACACGTCGGTCGTAAAAAAGAAAAAGAAAAAAACTCGTTTAGATTACAACCGTGTACAGTAAGTATATATATATATATATATATATATATATATATACACTAAAGAACACCCATATGAGCACTAAATGCCGTTGCTTTGCTTACATAATAATGTATACAGCCGAAAAACCACCCAAGCCTGAACAATTATATATAATTCTGGTCGAAATCTACCGCGGCGCGGCGACGACAACGTGCAGTGGGAAAATACGACGATGGAGATAATAAAAAAAAATATATTATAGTGGCTATTGACTAATAGGTTAGTACGTTAGTATTGAGAGAGAGGTGGGGGAAAGCGATTTAAAATTGCTGGTTTTTACCAGAACGACGGTTACTTACAATAGTACAGCATAGCAATTGAATACCGCACCCCAGTTTTTTTTTTTTTTTTTTTAAAAAAAACCCTGTTTCCCGTATCGCGTGCGATCACAACAAAACGCTTAAATAATGAGTAGGTAATGAAATAATTACTGTCAACTTGTATACAATAAATTAAGTAACATGAAACAAATGAGCATTTTAAAAACGTTAAAGCAATTTAAAAAAAAAGTTTTACTATACTATATATGAGTATATCATAAACATACGAATCTAAAAAATAATAGACGGTAATATTCTACCGAAAAACAAAAACCCAACGTAGGGTATTACAAACAATTAGCTAATGTGGGTAAAATAATACAGAAACAAAATTATTTTTAATTCTATCATACATGCATAAAAGAAAATCCTAATCAAATCGAAAAAACTAAATAAAAGAACACAATTTTTTTTAGAAAATCACTAGAAATAAACAAATTCATCAACATTTGGTCCAAATTTCGTATTTTAAAATCGTTTCAACACTCTTGATTTCATGTAGAGCCGACAAAATAAGTAAATATCCTATATAGGTCCCGTGCACTATTATTTCTTGAATGTTAATAATGTTGGATATATTCCTAAAATGGTAAGTATATAATATACGTGCAGATGATATCGCTAAACAGACATGTGCACGTGATATGCAGGTGATATGCGGTATGCCACTGTTGCATAGTCTGCAGTTTTACGTACGAAGTTCAAAATTGTTCAGTATAAATACTTAAGCTAGAACCATTTTGGACTGTGTGGTGTGAAGAAACTTATGGTTTTACAATGATGTTTATTTTTTTTATCCACGTGCAACTTTTCTACTAGATGACTTGCTCTAATTTTTAAGCGTAGCACCTTTTCTGAAAGAAGGGAAGTAATTTAGGCAGGTCATTTTCCTCAGAAGTTTTCTCATCAAATTTAAAAAACTCGAAAAAAAAAGGGAAAATATAAGAAATGTAGGTATTATACTATATTCCAAATGAGTTTGGAAAAATGCGTGACGAAAACGCATCATATTTCGCGCAGGTGCTGTTTACGTTTGTTGCCGGCAGTGTGCTGTCGTCGTCTACCTCCACAAAACGACGAGTACACACAGCGCCTGAAGCCACAAAATGAAAGTAATGTCATTGATGAACTTGCCGCAGCCGCATAACAAGACCATTTTTAAAACTGCCACCATACCACTGTGAGTTCAATCCAATCGAACTGGCTTGGTCTTCAGTTAAAAATCATGTACGTATGAACAATACGACGTACAAACTGCCAGATGTCAAAACATTATTAGTTGAAGGCGTAAACCGTGTGGACGCAGCGATGTGGAAAAATGTTATCAGCCACACAAAAAAGGAGGAATAAAAAAATTATACGACATCGACGTTGTCATTGACGAAGTTTTGTCCGCGGAAACAGCAGATTTGAGGAGACACGTCAACTGATGAAGATACAGATTCTGACTAGAAATAATTGTAAATAATGTATAAATATGCTTTCTTTTATAATTTTCGTAAATATATACGTATTATTATTATTTTATAAAAAAAAAATAACCTATTATATAAAACTGCATGACATGTATGGATATACGTGCATAATAGATACATGTCCAATGTCCGTAAAAATTACAATATAAAAAAAAACAAGTAAGATACGTTGTATGAGCGAGCAATAATAACAATATAACCGCGCGGTGCGCGTAGGTATTGCGATCACGCTTTAATATTAATAATTGTTATTACGATTCTCTGTATACACAACGGCGGACCGCGGTCGCTCGCAGTAGCGGCGTGTAAACGACGTACGCCGACTACAGCAGCCGCACGAATATTTCCGCTCATTTGGAACAGAGTATAGTTAAAATATATTACGGCCTTCTTTTTTTCTATGCGCAACATTCTACCAGCAATTTTGCTCCGATTTATAATGATGGCGATGTTTCCATAAGGAAATCCGACTGGGGAGGTACTTTTGAGAAGTCATTTGTCGATTTTCCCAAGAGTTTTCTCGGCAAATATGAAAAACCGGAAAAAACGTAGGAAAACTGGGAAAATCGGTAACCAAATATTATTAAAAAAACTATATAGAGCCTATTTAATTATTTTACTATAATATGACATATATATTGTTGACAAAGCATCACTATCAACTGAACTCCGCTCAGAATCATTTAATTACCTATAACAGTGGCTGCAACCATCCCTATTATCCTAGGACGTCTCATTATTATTTGATCAGAACGAGAACCGGATTTTAAGTGTTGGTCCGCGGAGTCGGACAATCTGCGAAAGGAACGCGAAAGCCGCACAGCGCGTCGGGAAAATTATTAGGTTTTTGTCGCTTACGCGGTGCCAGTTGAATTTGATAAACGCCGGAGACTCAACGTGGTCGTGGTCGGCGCGTCGCGGAATGACCGGCGTGTTGGCCAAGGGGTGGATCCGTAAATTAAATTGCATGTTATCGCAATTAAGATAAAAGGACACTATATGTAATGCATTGTTACACGCCGTTCTTGAAAACAAAATATTCTTGAACGTTATCAGCGTTTTAAGCATTAAAAATAGTTAGGGGCACAATTTTTTTCTATTTTTTTTTTCTCTACGCTAGCACAATATTCCGATATATTACAATATTTTATTATAATATTACAATTATACACGTTAATTAAAATAAACCGAAAACACAAAATAAACCCCGACGTCATAGTTACGAATAGTTACGAATATTATTTACAGTTTAAACATTTTAGTTTTATGTATGATATTAAAATTGAAACAAAAAACTTAAATAGTTTTAAATACAATCTGCGAGTCTACCTATCACAATGTATACGCCGCAGAAGAAAATTGAAGAACTATGCTTAAGATTGGAGTTTTTATCAACACTTGTTCCGTGTTCTTCCTTTGCGAAATCGGAACACGCGATTTTAGCAAAAGGGATACAATCGCTTCTAAGTAAGTGTCTGAAACCTGTTATTATTCTTTTTTACACGACGTCAAAGGCTAGGATTTTACTGTTGTTTCAAATATTATTTCAACATCTCAAATATAAACAAATGTACAACTATTATACCTAACCTATTCTATGTCAGATGCCTACCCTATATCAAAAACATTTATTACGAGAATTATTCTTAAGAAAAATTATCGCCGGACATTATTGCTACATGTATAAGCAATACACTATCACCACTGGAAAAATATAAAAAAAAAAAAAAAACATTTTTATACTTTTCTATCACAATATTAATTTTGCCAACAAATATGATAATGAAATAAAATAACGAATGCACTACTTTAGATTCTGAGCGGAGCGAGGAATGTATTGGTTGTAAAATGATGTTTATTTTTTTTCCTGTGGGCAACTTTTCAAGCAGAAATTTTGTTCCGATTTTCAAGTGTAGCGCTTGTTCTGAAAGGAAATTTGACGGGGGGGGGTACTTTAGGAAATTTTTTTTTTGATTATCCTACCTGTTTTCACAATAAATGAGAAAAACGTAGGAAAAACCGACAAATGTATGAAATATATTATTTACAAATCATAAATATTACGGCTTTTTAAAACATGTAAAACCGAAATTGAAGTCAAGGGCAGTGAGATCCGTGAGCATGATCTGCGATATCGTGTTGCTGTAATTGACCGTTCAATAGTATAGTTGACACTTCAACACAAATCAAATTCACTTAAAATCCTCTTAGAAAATTGCTGCTTCATGATAAAAAAAATCAGCCTGTATATGTTGCACCTATACTGCGTTACTGACTGTTTAGTGAAATAGACAACGTCTGTATCCATTTCGCTTAATGTAATCGCGGTTTCTCCACTTAGGTACACCGTAATTATACTATTATTACCATTAACATTGGATAATTAAATTGGTACTACTAGGCGACTGTACATAGCGGAATTTGTTTATTACATTGGATGTCCATATAGCGAAACAATAAGCTCTACTTTTTATGATAATGATGGGACGTAATCAAAACGCTGCGCGCCGTGACGCTACACACAAACGAGGCACCGCTACAATAGCGGTGAAAGTAACTCGCTCTCCCCACTGAAATTCAAAAGTCTAGTTAACGGGTTGACGGAAACTAAAAACGTCAACACCAAAAAATAATTTAATCTATTACCCCATTTATTTATGGAATGTTTAATATAAGTTGCTATTTGAATATCAAAAGTAGGTAGTGGTTACAACTCTTAATAACTTCTTGAAATAAGAGCGAACAAAAATAACCATAAAACAAAATTGTATAGTCACTTGTTTTAAAAACAAATTCTGAAAAAAGTTAATACTTCCCGGGACAATAAGTGCCTTACGTTATGTTGATAACTCTATAGGTATACCATATATAGTTTATCAATATATCTAACAGGAATGTGAAAAGTGACTATTAAAAATTATAATTTCAACAAAAACAATTGATAATTAATATCAAATCGTTTTTCAGAAACGTTAAGAAATATCGTCGGTGAAGAAACTTATTTAAATGTATACCAAAGAAATTTGAGAGCTATGCCAGTTAAAAAAGTAACTGACATTAAAAAACTATTGACCAATAAAGACACAGTTATACATTCAGAACAAATGATTGAAAATTGGAATACTTGTTTACAAACGGTAAATTTGCTATTGCACTTAATAATATTATTGTGTTCGCAGTGTTGTTATAATTTGCAATATACGATAATAACAAAAATATCATTTTACAATATTTTGAAAACTAAATTTATTCTTATGTGTGAATCTGTATATTATAGAGACTGTTTCAAGAATTTTTGTATGAGAAATCGCAACCGGTATTTTCTGGGCCGAACGAAGAGATAGATTTTTGGAACTTGATGTATATAAAGTACAATCGCGTATATCGCACTTTTGACTCTGAGCTGTTAATATTTGCAGAGACGTCATTGGCGTTGAATAATTCTAGACACTT